TTAAAGTAAAATGGTACTCATCTTCAACTAAATTTAATGTACAATGTTTGCATAATCTATCTTTTTTTTAATCAATTTTTGACCATCTACCAGTTTCAATTTCTAATTCAAGGACTCCTAAACGCAACCTAGTGACAATAAAATTTTGTATATGCATTAGGTATAGTTAGATTGTAAAATTATATTTAAATGTCACATAATACTGAATTCTGAAAAGTAAATGAATTTGTTCATGAAAATTATGAAGTTCAATATCAGTTAGACGAGTAGTTATTTCAGATATAAAAGCAACATTGTTCTCAACATATTGTTCATACCAATTTATACCAAAACCAATTTGAACATAATTTCTCCTTAATAAAGTACAACCAAGATTTATCGTTGGACTGTAATCTTCTTAACTGGAATCTATAACAACTGTAAATACAACTTTTATTATCTGCATTAATTAAACGTAACCAATAACGTAAAGCATTTCTAATACCAGCAACAGAAAGTGAAAATCTCCCGCATTCACCCATAACTGCAATAGTTGGAGCTGTGCTGCCTATTCCTAAAATAAATCTGCAAAACCTAGAGTGAAATTTTTCGATAATTGGTATGTCATTGATTCCCCAGATCTCACTGCTATACATTAATATTGGTACTATTTTTACATCAAAAATTTTGTTCCACATATGTATTGGTAAGTTGCCAAATCGGTTATGAATTAATCGTTTTAAAGTAAAAAGAGCTTTGTTTGCTTTTGTACAGTTATAAGTAATTGCATTCGCCCATGTGCCATTTGAATTAAACACTACACCAAGATAATTGTAAGATTTAACTACTTGTAATAAAACTTCTTTATAATACCATTTTTCTATTTTTTAAAATTTCCCCCATTTTAAAAACGACAACATTACTTTTTTCAATGTTAACAGTAAGACCCCATTTATCACAAAAGACAGCCAGTCTGTTTAAAGAAGATTACAAACCAAAAACAGTGTCCATTCATAAGAACAAGGTCGTCTGCATAAAGTAAATGGTTAATGAGAAAACCGCCAATTTGAATTTTATGTGTACGTTCCGATGTATTTAATATTTTACTTAAATCGTTAATAAATAAATTAAAAAGAAAAGAGGATAGAGGTGACCCTTGTTGAATACCAATTAAACATCTGAATTGATTACTGATAATACTTCCAACTTTTACATGGGCAGAAAGTTTGTCATACATTGAAATAATAATGTTAAGTATATTTTGTTTTAAACCTTCTTTCTTTAATTTAAATATAAGAAACTGATGATCAATTGAATCAAAGGCTATTTTTAAATCAATAAAGGCAACATATACTCTTCCTCTTTTTTTTGATAAATATTATATTTATTATGTAAAGAAAAACCTTACTAAGTAGTGGAATCAATGAAATGCCCCTATAATTACTGGGATTATTTTTGTTACCCTTTTTGTAAATCGGGTAATGAGACTTGTTGCCCATTGGGTAGGATATATTCCCGTTTTAAATATCACGTTATAAAGTTTTGTAATTAAATCAATAACAAAATCTGGTGAGTGGATAAAAATTTCAATGATTAATCCATCAATTCCTGGTGGCTTTCCTCTCTTTTGTAATGTAAAAGCTTGTTGTACTTCATCAACGGATATTTCTTCATTTAAATTGTTTAAGTTTCTATTAAATTCCACTTGAAATAGAAGGGCCTATATGGAGGGACTTTGCCATATGAAGGGTTCTTACCATGGGGGGCAGAGGTAAGAAACTTTTCGATTATGGCACCTCTGGATGGCCAGAAATGGCACTCTCAGATTTTTAATTTGAATATACTGTAATTTTCCTTTTTTCTCAAATTTTTTACCATTTTAAAAGATTTAGGGGGGGGGGGCAGGCCGGCTGGTATTCAGTTATCGCAATGGACAATGCTGCTGATACGCATAATAGTACTTCACAATTCTTATCATATCAAATTCTAATGATTTATAGTATCATCATACCACGGAATGATGTGAGGATTATTAAATACATGGCATTGAGTAGGACTAGTAGATCGCATTAGCACAAAGAAATTATGTTAGCATTCCGATTGTTATGGGTAAATAAAATTTATAAAGAGTGTATCGATAGAAATGAATATATAGATTCATAAATACGGTATATTCACACAATAAACATAATACTATAGGCCTATCTATAATCTTCATACAAACATTTTTCATGATATAATATTTTTTAATTGATTGATTGAATTTATTCGATGCTCAACATGCATAAGCAAGATAACTAATGGAATGAGATCAAGAAAAGCAAAAATTACCGTAATGAGCATCAGGAACGCCCATTAGGCGAGAGTCCAGCCCATTTCCAATGAGGTCCAATTTAAATATACACTGTCTGTCTTGAGCTGTAAGATAAACAATTTAATTCCATAACTGAATAATTATATTTAAGTAAGTTACAAACTAAAGGCCCCGACGAGGGGGGGGGCTGCGAGGGGCTAGTGGAGCGAATCGAGTCTCACTTGGGTGGGAGCCAGGGGGGCCGCCTAGGGCCCCAGTAGGGTCCAGGGGGGCGAATACCCCTGGAAGCCACAGATATTTGATGAATTATGGCGAATATTTTATTACTTATTTGATAGACATCGAGTTACTATAATATGGCTTCATGTAGGCTATGCTTTCTAATGTTGAAATCAGCTTCCAAAACTAAAACATTTTTAATGAAACAAGAAACAAAGAGTATGCAATGTAACCATCTAATTAAGTGAAATTCAATATTTTGGAAATTCTGCATGACATCTGTCAACCACGCTTTCATGGTCGAGGTTGCTTCACCTATCACGATGTATTCCAACCATGAGGCTATCTAAATGAGCATTTGTCATAACAGAACACAAATTATTTTTAATTAGTCTCACTGAATTATTATTATTATTATTATTATTATTATTATTATTGTTATTGTTATTGTTGTGATGAAAAGTTAACACAAACAATATTGTAGCTAAACGAATATTACATGTAAATATTTGTTTTTATTTGTTTGTTCCCCGACAAAACTTATCGTCTTCCCCGAACGGGGGGGGGGGGCCTATGCTTCCCGAAGGGGGGCTATAGCCCCCCTCTGGCGCCACCACTGCAACTACATATATGAATGACAAAATTGTCTTTCTGTCAATTAACAGACAGTTATATTATAACCAGTGCTATATTCTTATTTATACATAGACTCTCAAATTGGCTGGTAGTGTCGATTTAAGGATTTTGTAGTAAAATGTTCATAAAATCAGGAAAAATGAGAAAGATGTCGATAGGGAGTCCAACCATTCTGATCGGGGTCTAAAACAAGGGGATGCCTAGAGTCTTGTTCAGGGTTACGGAACAAAATCCCTGGGGTGAGGTTCATGAGGAGAAATATTACGGTACAGGAACGCCCATATGATTTTTTACCACAATTGGATTGGCTATCAAAATATATCTGTTTGGATCGGCAAATTAATGTCGTAGAGTCGGACGAGGGAGTTGATGTTAGTTTATAATTTATGGTAACTCAGACTACATGAGCAAGGCTAGTTGCGTTTCAAGTTAAAAATAATGTTTAGTTTACAGCAACATGTGCTACTGGGGACCAGACCCGGGATTTATGAATCTTAAGTTAAAAAAGTTAAGATGTCCCTACAGCAAATATCTTAAGCTGATTTATCAAACCATCTTAGCAAAACTCTTAGCTTAAAAATTGCCTTATATGGCGCATACGTACAATCGACTTTTGAAATTTAAGCATGAGCTAGGTAATATTGATAAATTTGACTTAAGCAAAAAGAAAAAAAAAAAAAGACAATTTTAACCGATTTTTAAATCTGACCCCAGCATACTAACTTACGCGGAGTATATAAGGACAGGCTGAAGTTATTTAATTTATTCCCTTTGGAGGTCAGAATGTTAGCCGTGTTGTACTTTTTGCTAAATATTTTTCCTCTAATTGCCCTACAAGTGTGACTTATCCTTTTTTTCTTTTTTGAAAATCCCATAGATCCCTCTAATCAAGGACTGGTTAGGACTACATTATTTAGAAAAAAAAAATCGGTTTTCATTAAGGCAGCTAAATTGTAGAAATCTCTTCCTCCTAGCGCCATTTTCTGTTAAATGGTCTGCTGCCATAGGCATAGATCCCGGGGGGATGGGGATATATCCCCACAATATTTGACAAGGGGGATGGTCCATTGTATCATCCCCCCCCCCAATATTTTGACTATGTATGGGATAAAATGGAGATTTACACACTTCAAAAGACTGTCACAGAAATAATTTGCACTGTATTATGCGCTTACAAAGATGAAAATTATCATAATGTATTAATGTTAACAAAATTATTTTATCTGGTACCAATCTAAGCTCTTCTTTCCTTAGATGTTAGATGTGCTGGCAAAGAAAGCCACATTTCACACTGAAGGGTGTGTTCGACATCAGTAATGTTATGTCAATTCCAAGAATGTTTAAGGTTATATCGGTTGATAAGGAATTAATTGATTAGGCCTATAATAGCAAATTGCATCAATTTATGTTGCAAAAACAAGGTTTCCAGCTTCAGAGGGGGCACATCTCCTGTCCGCACAAGGGCACATATTGGTGCTAACACCAGGCGCGTAACAGGGTTCTTGGGTCAGAGTGGGTATTTATTTTTTAATTTTTTTTTATTTTTTTAATTTTTATAGAGGGTAACCCTTCTAGTTTAGCCCAGTAGGTTAACTGATATTCAGGACCTCTTTAATAACATTAACGAACAGTACAAACAACATCATTACAACAACATCATCATCATCATCATCATCATCATCATCATAATAATAATAATAATAATAATAATAATAATAATAATAATAATAATAATAACAAAAATAATAATAATAATAATAATAATAATAATAATGATAATGATAATGATAATGATAATAATAATAATAATAATAATAATAATAATAATAATAATAATAATAATAATAATAATAATAATAATGATAATAACAGCAACAACAATCCTCATTCACCATCTATACACATTGAGGCCCTTCTTTTAAGTTAAAATGATCTATCTTAAATTTGTCCTTCTTGAGTTTGGGACTATTATGTGTTTAAATAACTTAATAGGATAAAACTAAAAAAGCCCTAAAAAAATGCGCGCCAAGCGCGCAAAATATTTTTGTGTTTTTAATTATAATTTCATCGGAAAATGTGCAATTTATAGAGAATTGGCCTACCGTAACAAGAAATGCGCGCAAAGAATTTGAGAATTTTAGGCACTTTCAGAGGGTGCATTTGTCAAGGGGTGGAGAAAGATTTTCCAAAGATGGATATTTTCCCCTTGTCCCCCAGTGTTTTTAATGTTAATTTCGTTGGAATTGATCAAAACAAAATTTTTAGAGGAAATTGGACCATGTTAACAAGAAATGCGCGCGAGCTTTGAGGTTTTTAGGCACTTTCAGGGGATGAAAAGGCATTTATAAAGGGGTGGGGAAGATTTTTCAAAGATAGATATTTTCACCTTTTTCCCCAGTGGTTACGCCATCGGGCAGCATAGATCAAAGGAGTTTTGAAAAGGACAGTTTTTAAATTGGAGAAGGGGTTGCAGGGTGTTGTGAGTCTGGTCATTATGATATCTTATCTTCTCTTTTTCTTTCCTTTTCTTTTCCTCTTCTTTCTCTTTCCCTCAACCTCCCCTATTTCTTTTCTCTTATTACCCAGCCCGGTACGACGGCTTGGTCAACCCGGTAAAAACCGTCAGGGGAGGGGCAGTTTCCCCCTGCCCCCGCCCCGCGCCTGTTACGACGCCAATCATCCCCCCCAATGAAAAATACTTTCCTACGCCACTGTCTGCTGCCTTATCCTTGATTGAAAAATGGGAGCCCTCTTGCTAACATTGTTTTCAAATTCAGGCTTTTTTGTATTGCTTTTACTTTCATGTATGAATTACATTTTATCATACGATCAGTGGACTACCTTTGGTGTTGGGCCTTGTCCATGTCTATAGGCACTCTCCAAGTAAATTCATCCATTGCATATTATTCATCTATATGTCGAATTGGTAATAAATAAATAAATTTACACATGGCCAAATAGAGAGTGAGAGAGAGGGGGAGGGAGAGAGAGAGACGCTCAGCCATGTACGGTTCATGTCTGGTTTTTAAAAAAGTATCTGTATTTCAAATGTATTGTAAATGTAAATGTATCACATTTCAACTTTCTTTTGGAGGGGGCCGGTACTTAAATTTTCATTATTATTATTATTATTATTATCATTCTTATTCTTATTCATTATTATTATTATTATTATTATTATTATTATTATTATTATTATTATTATTATTATTATTATTATTATTATTATTATTATTATTATTATTATTAGGCCTATTATTATGTTTTTGAATTATTTTCTTTTATTTAACCAGTAGAAACGTGTTACTAACCTGCAACGTTTCAGATGCACTTCGGCTATCCTTTCTCAAGCATTGGTTCTAATGCTGGTCAACACCCGGCCTATATACGTATTACACCGTGTATATAGCAGTGTTGACCAGCATTAAAATCAATCAGGTTAGTAACAAGTTTGTACTGGTTAACTTGAATCCGCCACTGGGTACTTCAGCAAATGGAGAATCTATACCACCTCAGCCCCACCATGGTTATGGGGATGAGACAAGAAAATTTGTGATTATGGCACCTCTAGATGGCCGGAAATTACACTCTGAGACTTAAAATTTGAATATAATTTTTCTTATATCTATCTCCATTAAAAAAAATTGAACAATTTAGGCACCCCACCCCCCTCCCCCTTGAACGCGCCACAGATTTCTGAACAAAGTCGAAGTCGAGATTGCTTCCACGACCTCAATGAATTATTTACCATGAGGGTTATCCTGATATGGGTTCCCCGACAAAAGCTTCACTTTTCCCCTGATGGATAAAAATGACCCTTCTATGTAGCCCGGAAATGATACTCCAACTGTGGCGGGTCCAGAAAGTCGAAATAGAGGGGTCCCAGTGAAGGTCTTGAGCAAAAAGAATGTCCACCTACCGCAGCCCCACAACTGTTGCTGAAAAAATTAATTATGATTATGGCACCTCTAGGTCGCAGGAAATGGCACTCTCATAATAAAAGTTGAATAAAATTTTGTCTGTTTTCTCCATTTTTTTAATAAGTTTGAAAAATATAGGAGGATGGGGGCCCATGCTGACTGGGTTCTTCCTTGAATCTGCCACTGTTCAATATAACACTTGACATAGCCTATCATTTTGTTTCACAAATGATTAATTCCTGATGTCAAGCGAAAGATTTTTTTTATTCGAAAGATTTTTTTTACTCAATACAGTTTTTACAAAATATAACACATTAACTACAATGTACTGTAAATTCTGTAGTTAACCTTCAGAAAACTTTATTTTAAAAAATGGCCTAATCAAGTATCTTATTGTTTTCGTTAAATCAGATGGAATTTAATTGTGGTTATATTACGCTAGTTTAAAGGTTTACTGTAAGCCAATCAGCTACACTTGCTATACACCTTCGTGTTTGGTTAGCGTAAAGAGAACTAGAGCGTCACTCGAAGGCAGAGGATTTTTCCTTCATGCTCGAGGGTGGGTTTCAAGGAAACTTTACAGACGTGCGTATACAGACGTCAATCAACATTTGGTTGCTCAACTCAAAAAGGGAACTTGTAATGTTAGTTATAAA